GTCACTTCTGTTTTTCACTTATGTTCGTTCACGCCAAGAGTATTCATCGGTTGTGTGGAGTCCCATATATAATTACACATTTCGGCATTAGAAAAAGTTCAACGCAGATTCTTGAAGTTCTTAAGTTTCCTAGATGATGGTGTGTATCCTCCTAGAGGTATTCCAAATGATGTATATCTCAAACGCTTTAAAATACAAAGTTTATTATGCCGCCGGAATATTGCCTCTCTTATGTTGTTGCACAATATTATACATTCAGTAGTAGATTGTGAAGATATTCTGAACCTTTTGTACTTCAAAGTCTGCGGAACTAACTTGAGATTTAGTTCAGTCTTAGAGGCACCACGACCAAAAACCAATGGTACTAAAGCGTCACCCCTCTATCAGATGATAAGAAACTATATGCATATAGAAAACGAGGTGGATATCTTCAATTGCACAACTCGTGATATCAAAATCTGTTACAAATTATAATGGTAGCTACTATCCTGCACTCACTTTCATGTATTCTGTTTCTCTCCTTTTTCTTTCTTTTTTTTTTTTGTGTCCTTTTTCACATGTATGTCTTTCACTAAAGGGGCCCTAGCCTGTTGAAAGACTATTAATAATAATAATAATAATAATAATAATAATAAAAACCCAAACCTTTCCTAGTTATTTGAAGCTCAAGACAATATTTGCAATATGATTCATGAAATTTCGTCTTCCTAGATAAATGCCGATAGAATGACAACATTTTTTTTTTTTTCAAATTACACAAAATTTGACAAAAATGCAAAATATGCACCCATTACGTGAAATATGCAGCAGAAGGCAAATATATGTAAATATGCAGTTTTATAGCTGTATTCAATTTTAATTAACATGATTCGTTCACATATTAAATATCAAGACATATGCAAAAAATAAGGGATATGCAAATTTCATAAAATCCGCTCTCTAGTGATGAGGATGATTAGACAACTTTTGGTTAGCGTTTTACCACCTGCACAATATTCCTAATGTAAATGCAAAATTTGACAACAATCGACTCAGTACTTTCGGAGATTATCTGTCTAATAAAAACCAGGACGGCAAACGGATGGACAGACGGACAGACAGACAGACAGACGGAAACGGGCGACCTATTTCTGCGTACTCTAGGGGCATGAAAGGTCGAATAAACGTAAAAGTAGGACTCGATTACAATACTTTCTTCGCTTACGCTCGGGAAGTAAAAATGTACACAAGACGTATACATATATAGATTCATAAACACTTGAAACGTCTACATTAAATTTCCGTCAGCACAAAAGTCTATAAAGTCGCTAATACAATAAAAATGTTATTGCTGCATTGTTTTAATTCTACTTTTAAAGCAATTTCTTTGACGACATTTGACAGTATATGGTAGAACATTAAATATTTCTACAGAGATGAAGTTTACCGACTTAGCAAACGGCAATTAGGAATAGTTAATTGACCGCGGTTTCTTGTACTGTAGCAATTATTGTTAGAGTTTGGGTTGATTTTCAAAAGTATATATTGAACTATACTAGATATACAAAGAAGGCAGTGAACGTATATAGATTTGGAGATTGAAAAAATGTTAAAAGCATTTATTGAATTAATTTTACAAATCAACTTTTTTCTGAATTTTAAATATTCGTATGGTACTAAAGAAATTACCCCATAAAAATGTACAGATTCTAATGAGCAAAACAGAACTAATTTTCGCAGTTGAAAAGAATGGAGTTTAATTTTTTAGCCTGATGATTAACGTGGCCTTCCCATGTAATTTTTTTATCCAGATGTAGACCGAAAAACATGACTGTTTCAAATCCTATAACTTGTTCCGACTTCAATGAAAACACTATAGATTGACTTTTTTCTTTGTTCATAGATAAACCATTATGTGATAACAAAATCAAAGTGTTGTTTGATGCAATATTCCCTTTGGTTTTAACTTCATCCACTGTGGTTGCACTATTAATTATAGTGGTTTCATCTGCAAATAGAATGGTCTTCATAGAACAGGAGTATTCAGGAAAATCAATCATAAATACAAGAAAAAAAAATGGCCCAAACATTGATCCTCGTAGCACGCTAATATTAATCGTCTTAAGCTTTGAATATGTATTGCTTTCGTAGTCTGTTCGGACTATATTTCTTAAATAGGACGATAACAGTTGGTATAGTGGCCGTCAAATTTTACCGAATGCTGCCTGGGGCGCGGTCGTGCTTCCACTCATTGAAGTGATTAGGATGGTTATAATTTTTATTATTCTCCACTATTTGGGTACAGCATATTTCTTATTTCAGTACTAAGTGAATGGTACGCGGCATTCGGCCCAACTTTATGGCATCTATAAGCTGTGGTTAGGGGTTTATTGAGCGCTTGAGGCGTTCAGCTTATTGTGACGGCCACTTTACGTCAAACCTCAAATTCCGTAAAATTTCAGCTTTTATAGCAATAATAATTCGTGACTTACACAGTCAAAGGCCTTGCTCAAGTCGATTAGTGTGGCCCATATAATTTTTCGATTTTCAAAGTTAATCATTAACATTTTCAGTTAATTCAAATGTAACCAAAATTGTTGATTTGTATTGTTGTTTCACAATTAAGTTCAGTTTCATCGGTTGGTATTACAAATAAGGTGTTACCGGATTGTATTTTTTAATTTTGTAAAAGTACTCACGAGTTGTATGTTTATTGTTACAAATACTACGACCAGTATTACTAAAATGATTTTTAAAATTCATCCGTCCTTATGTCACTATGCTTTATCTAATTAATTATACAGTGTAACGCTCAACTATAGTGCGCTTGATTGTTTCTGCAGAATGAAAATGTTTACACCGATCTTTTCTCGCCTCTGAAGTATGTTAAAGTAGAGGTAAATAAGAATGCTATGCTCTTGTTTCAAGCTAATTTTTCAATTCCAAAATTTTGTCATGACGTCATCAACATTTTAGCAAGAGCACGGATATCAATTTGGATGGACGCAGTGTAATACTTCTGATTTTTTTTCCTAACATCTGGATAACAAGGGTAAAATATAAGTTAAATAACATTAATCGGCAAAACTGTAGGATGACGTCATGATTAGGGGAAAGCACATAAACGAAACTCATAAAGGATTCATATATCACATGCAAAAGTATTTTATAAAATTTAAATAACATTTACTGTTGTAAAAGTTGGAGATCGTCACTTCAATTGTTTGTGGGGCTGATCAAACAAATTTTTGTTGGTGTTTTACAGGACATCTAATGTGCATACATAATTTGACAACAGTTGATCCGGTAGTTTCGAAGATTATCTGTCTAATAACAATCAATACAGACGTGGACAGACAACGGGGGGCAACAGAGATAGCAGACGGCAGACAAACAAAAAGACCTATATTGGTCCTGAAACGTTGAAAAAACATGAAAGTAGCAAGTCGCTTGGTGGACTCTATTACAATACTTTCTTAGCTTACGCTCGAGAAGCAAAAAATACAGTATATATAAAACTTGACAACAATCGGTCGGGTAGTTCCGGAGAGAATCTGTAGAATATATATCGAAGACAATAGACTACAAACGACTGATAGAGAAACAGAAACGGGAGACTTCAAAACATCTATAAAAAGGAAAATGCTCCATTAAAAATATCTGTCCTGACTTTTTCAACCGCATTGTAAAGAAGCAAACAAAACAAAGCATTTGAAGTACTCTTTAGTTTTTGTATTTTTAACCATTAGTAGCTTGTCTCCTAAAGTATGAAGAAATAGGTCTCCCGTTTCCGTCTCTCTATCGTCTGTTGTCTGTCGCATGTCTTCTGCCGTCGATCGTCTGTCTTCTGTCGTCTGTCGTCTGTTATTGGTTATCTGTCTGTCTGTATCGATTTTTATTAGATAGATAATCTCTGAAACTGCCGGACCGATTGTTGTAAAATTTAATATGTACTTGTATTTGAGAAACATCCTGTAGAAGGTATACCGCTCACTAAAAGTTGACCAATCATCCCTACCAACAACAGAATTATGTCATCTTCAATTTACAAAAGTAAATCTGATTTAAGTTTTATACAATAGATAGGTACTCCTGCATTTGTTTAATGTTTACCCTAAATATCCGAATTTTTGAAAAAAAAATCTGAACGTTGCAAACTGAATTGGAAACTGCAAAACCGGATACTCTGAAATCTTGAAAACTTTTTGAAGTAATTGTAAGCATGGTAAATCGTTAATCAAAGTTTATCCGTTTATTCCATTTCAAAAAATTGATGACATCATCTCAAAAGGTTGCCAAATTAAGCATATCTAAAATCTGGAAAGTACTACCTGTGGTTGATCAGTGTTTTCAAAAAAGTGCCAAAAAAATTAATAAATGAGACATTTTTTATCAAATTAAGAAGGCTCACTTCATTTTGCCAAAAATTTGGGAATATAGTACTCTTACTTTTAGTATGTCACAATTGAAAACGTGTCCTTGCTGTTGGTGGTGTCATAGGAAAATTTTATCTGTACTGAAGAACTCACTTGAAACATATGTATAGCATGTTTTGGTACGCTTATTGTGATCCTACACACATATTTTTATTTCAACTTAGATACTAAGGTTATCATGTAAAAATTAAATTCGCCAAGGAATTATGCCGGATTGTAGCTTAGGGGCGAGGGAAGTTCTGTCTTACTACCCTTAGGCCAATTGTCTATTAAATAATCTGCAGGTATTTCAGGTTTCAATAGTTTGTCTTTAAAAATAAAAATAAGTAATATGAATATTAGGATCGGTGCTATGTTTAGTGTCCAGTACCTACTTGTTTATTAGGGTATTTTGTAGTCTAAAATTATCTCGTATATTTTTAATATGTTATACCTATTTAACTCTGAAAAATATTTAAAAAAACATATTCCTTAAACATACTATTTGCTACAAGAATAAACAAAGGCAATATTTCCTTATAACACCTCTTTAAATTTGTTTTTAGCGGAAAATCACAAAACTTAATTTTACTTTTCTTTTTTCAGTCGAGGATTTAACGGCAGGACCGAGCACTCCATTGAAATTTTCTGTGGAAAGTCCTGATTTCGCTGGTCCCATTAAAAATGTGACAGTTGCAATTGGAAGAGAAGCAGTCCTCAGTTGTTCCGTAACAGATTTGGGCCATTATAAGGTGATTTAAACTTTGTTTGTTTAGAACCAATTCATAATGTTTCCATTGATCAGTATACAATTAAAACTCATTTAGGTTAGTTTCCAACTGATTACTTTTCGTAATGGAGTGTGTGTTAGTGAAATCGGTTACATTCGACTAATCTGCTTCTAATTAATTTGTAATGTGTGTACAAAACCAACTAAGAGCAACTGTAATTACTCTCTCTATGTTATGGCAACAACTTTTACTAAATTGGTATTTCATTTCAGAACAGCGATATTTGTTGGCATGCTACCTAAAATAAAAATTACAAACTTGAACCAACAACAGTTAGTTAATGAATTACTTTTATTCTGACTGTTACAGTGCTAAAAATACCGCGAATATAAATTACAATCGCTGATTTTCGATTATATTTCAGAAACGGTTCATTTATCACAAGCTCTTCCATTTTTTATTTCTGACAAGACTAATTCACAATCAAAATAATACAGTAGTAAAGTAATTATTCATCCGATTCGGATTCAACTGAACCAAATAACAAACAGAGAGATCAGATCCAATACCTGCAAGCGATATAAAATATATTATGTTGCTGGCGTACGAACTCACTAGCTTGCTGCTAATTTTGATTGATCGTTATTTTAACTTGGAAATCTCTATTTAATTAATATCAGAACGAAATTTCGATATATTTGTTCAACTATTGCGTCAGATGTTAGTAAACGTAAATTTATTATTTATTACTTTAATGAGTCTTAAACGTGCACCATACCTAATAAAGCTAATTAGTGTAACGACATAAAACTTTAGAGTTTAACTTTAGTTTTTCCTGTATTAATTCTTGTACTATAAATACTAAAAATTATCACATAAGAATCCACTTAAATATAATTACTCGGCGCAAGAGAGGTAAACCTTGTTTTGCAACTTTCTCATAATTTTAATTCAATTTTCCTTGAAGGACATAATACAGTTACCTTTAAATTTCTGTTTCAATTACGTTAAAAGGATTAGATCTGACAGTGCTACCAATCTTTCGAGGTATATTCATAAAAGGAGAAGATTAATTTGATAATTTTAGTCCAAGGTTCTCCTCAGTGCTTGCGGTTGCTTTGTTTCTTTTTTTTGTTTTCACTGTTGTAAATATTTCAACAAGGTAAAATACTTACACATTGTGTAAAACTGATTGAAAATTTAGTAGTCGGTATGTATTCTGTTTTATTATTACTCCTTTGAAAGCACATATCAGTGACAACATGTGTGTTAGCGAACCACCTTTTTTATGTCTAAATTGAGGTGTCTGAAAATCGGGAAAAAATGATTTCCTAAATTTACCAACACTGTGGTTTTATTAAACAATGCATTAACTTTTATCTGAATTTAAAAGAATTTTGCCACTCGAAGTATCCCCATCACTACAAAAATAGTTTCTTCATTTGAAAGAATTTTACATATCTCGATTTGTTTATAATATGTACATTGGAGTTTATCCAAAACATATCTTCAAATATATAAACTGGATTTTAAATTTATGTTTCTTTGTTCAACTAATTATGCCTTTAAACATATTCAGATAGCTTATAATATATTTTTTTATTTCCATATTAATTCGTATTTTCGAGATGTTTTTCGACGTTTAATTCAGTATGCAGGGTAAATCACTAAGCGCGAGGTGAATTGTTATTAGTATTAGAGATAGAAAAAAAAGCCACAAACGAAAGTTGTACCATCAGGGACACGGAAAACTGGGCAGAGGTGTCACACAATTGTCAAAATTTCTAAACCAGACCTTAGCTATTCATAACCACGCTTTTAATGTTTGGCGTATTTCTCATTTTGACACTGACAAAGTCGAAGTTTTATTAAATTTGTTTTAATTATATTAACACGCAGCTACTGCTCGAGATTTGTTAAAAATTGATACAGCTGGCATGTCGAACCAATTAATATATTTCAAAGCTAATTTGACAGTTTTTTCGAAAATATCAATCATATTGACGCCAAAGATGCATTTACATTGACATTTTTTGAAATGACAAGAACAGAGTGCCCAGAATTCCATGTCCCTCATAGTACGGTTTTGAGGACTATACTCTAAAATTATTTTTAACTATGCAAGGTGTTGTGTTTTTGAGGCATAACACAAAACTTAGTTTTTTTAAATGATACACTCCATATATTTTTCTATATGACGACGTTGCCACGTTAGTTCAAATTTCTTGAAATTTTTGTGTGAATGGAAGGGTTCACAGAAATATCGTAATAGGGTAAAAATTAAGGATAAATAAAAGTACGCAGTTTATTGTGGTATTAATTAAATGAAGTTTTAAAATACAGTTAAGAAATTATAAAACTATACAAATTTTAAATATCGATTTTTCGTTTTTTCAAATAGAACATACCCTGTAATTTATGGTATTTTTCCTTGTCATTCTTCTATATGTAGATGTGTCTCTTAGCAAAAATTCTCGACACAAAACAGGAGAATCGATATGATGCTATCAACTAGACCCAAAAATTTAATTGCAAACATGTACCGTCTACTTTTTAATGTAGAAAATTGGACGAACTGTAAAACTACACAGTTAGGATAACCTCTGGGAGGGTACTCGTAACTACCCAAATTAGTGTAAAATGCAAATTTTGCAAAGCGTCGCTATACATTCTCTAATGTCCAGATATGAATGTGGTATATTGGTGACCAAACAATATTTGCATATTCTAATTTCCATCTCACCAATGTTTTGAAGAGAATTGTTAAAGTAGTAAGGCTATTAATATATTTTTTAGTCGACCATTACAAATCTAATCGTTTTATGTCACCGATCACGTCCATGAAGTGTTACTTTTTTGGACTCACTTGTCACTTTTTGTAATCAGGTGTCGAAATAGTATATTATTAGCCAAAGTCGCAAAGCTAAACCCGAGACGCGCAGTGTAGACGGGGGCTCTAAAGCGCGAGGTCTAGAAGTGGCTTTACAACCGTGGTTAATACACTATTTTTTCATTAGCAGGCATGAAGCAGAGTAGAAACTGTAAAAGACAATAAATTGAAAAAATGAATCTTCAGTTTTTTATGAAAAATGTTTAAGTTCACAAAAATTTACATCATAGTAGTCACTGATGAAGTGACATTATTGTTGTTGTTTGACATTTGAAAATTTTTGATGACAGCAGCATTTCACGAATTTTCTTAATAGTGTCCGCAGAACAGAACGTGATCGAAATTGAACAATGCACGTCTCCAGAACTAAGAGGGGAGGCGCAAAATTTCCAAGAAAAGCTATTGTCGAAAAAATAATCCAAAAGCGTTTATATGAAAGTTTATGCAGAGTACAAAGAAGCAGATCGCTGGGACCTCAGAAAATGTGCTTTTAATCTACTTTCAGAAAAAGAGGAATATCGTCGCTGAAGTAGAATTTTGCTAGCTGTCGTATCTCCATTATCTCTGTTAATGTTATCTTCCACTATGTACCAACTACCATGCATGTACTCAAGTAATAGTAGTTGCCATAGAATACCCTCTAGTTGCATACATTCATTCATTTTAAGAAATAATTACATTAAGTATTTCGTACATAACCTTAATCTTTTTGAACCTTGGGCGCACAAGTTGGACTTTGCTACCTCTAAACAAATCGACATATGCATGCTTTATGGCTGCTAGTGAAAAAAATTACTTTTGCGTCCTTGAGTTTGTGTTTTTGACCAACATTTTTTTAAGTGAAAAAGCCGAAAGCACCATTAGGTATTTGAGCTCCACCTTTACTAAATACATAGCGTTACCAAGTTTTAGTTCCTCAGCGTAAGTTAAGTGATGAAATCCATCGGACGAATGGCCACTTTTATGTTTACTCGACATTTCATGACCCCTAGAGTACGAAAAAAGTACTCTGTAGTGGACCGATTGTCGTGAAATTTCCCACGTATATTGGGAGTATCATCTAGATGGTTAAGCGTTAACCAAAATGTGGTTAATCATCTCCACCAACAACTTAATGACGTCATTTCAAAGATTTATATTTTAAATTGATTTAAATATTATACAGTAATAAACTCCCATACTTGTGGTGTACGAATCCTCTTTGGGTTTTTTCCCGAAAGGACCTACAGTTCCGAAAAAAATGAATTCAGTATAATAACATGTTACCACTAACTCAGAATATAAATGACAATGGTTAAGTCGTTAAGGAGTCAGTTTGCGGACCGGAAATCGCAAGTTCGATGCCAAACTTTCCCGTTTCCTTTTTTTTTTCTTTTTCTCACGCCCTGTGTATTATCTTATGTTTATGACGTCACATGAAATTCATTACCGTCTGTTAGTAGTGAAGTTGTGTTTCGAATTGAACTGATATGTTTCCAGGACCCTTTAGCATTAGATTCAAGTTCCTTATTTAAGATTTGTATGTAGGAATTATAAGAAAACTTTATACTTAATTTAATCTCAGCTTGCAGTTGTTTAAGCTTATCAAGAACGTTTCATTGATGACAATGCTCGTATTTTATATTTTTGTGTGATTTTTGGGAATACATTTATCAAAGATACTATATAGTTTTAAGTAGAGGCATTCTAGAGCAGCGTCAACATCAGAAATATTATTAAGGAAAGACCAGTTCGCCTTAAGCAATTCATCCTAGACAATAGGGAAATTTGCTTTTTTAAAATTTCAAGCAGGTGTATGACACACAGGAAAGTTTTTTTGGTGCTTTCGAGGAAAAGAAGTTGTTATACTAGACGCAAACATTTAGTGCGTTTATGACTTCACACCAACTTAATTGCTATTATAATCCAGTAGGCCGTCCCAGCCGGATGTATTAAACCCGCTTACTGATAACCTACGTGAAAAGACCTTTTCTGGTAAAAGCACAGGGCAGTACTCTCTCGGCCGTGTCTGACCTCTGGCATGTTTTGCATTTGCTTAGTTTTATGAAGGGTCGGCTGTAAAGTACTTTAAACGTCAAAGCCATAAACGCACTAAATGTTTGCGTCTAGTAACCTTCACAGCGAGGTAATATGGATGCTCTTTAATAAGTACATTAGTTGACTGAGCAATATTTTTGCAAACTTAACTGCCGTGGGTGCCACCCAGACATGTAATAGTTATGATATGATTTCTAGCTAGGATTTGATATTTTCCTTGGTATTTTCGGGCCCCCAGGATGCCTCATAGGCTAGAAAACTCAAGAAAATGCTTGAAACATAACGTTTCTGAAGTTTTTTAACGAATTTCTTAAATCTGCGAATTCCGGAATGTGAAAAATTAACCCAATCGTCTCTTTTTGACAAACTAATTAGTCGATTACCGCAAGTACGTCCTATCGATTCAAATTGTAAAAACAAGTTGAAATATGCTTCAAACCAAAATATGATTTCTAGCTAAAATTTGATGGTTTCCTTGGTATTTTCTGGCCCATTGGGAGCCCCATAGGCGAGAACACACAAGAAAATGCTTGAAAAGTAACGTTTCTGAATTTCTTGGAAGTACAAACGCCAGAAGGTGAAAAATTAACCCAATCGTCTCCTCTGGAAAATTAAATAGATTATGCATACCGCAAGTACGTTGTGTCGATTAGAATCGTCAAAACAAGTCGAAATATACGTCAGAACTGATAAAATTCCACCAAAATATGATTTATGGTTAAAATTTTATCGTTTCCTTGATATTTTCGCGCCAGTAGTGTGTCTGATAGGGTTGAAAACACAAGAAAACACTTGAAAAGTAAGTTTCTGAAGTTTCTTAATGAAACGTGGACATTTTCAAAGAGAAATCCAAAAAAACCTTGGGGAGATAGTAACATCAAAAGTGTTAAAAGACATGAAGGATACAACGGCGAAAGATTTTTTACTGTTCGTGCAGGGGGAGAAAGAAGTTTTGTAGATACGCAAGTTTAATTTTTTCCTCAAAGTCAAAAACCCAAGAGTACTATGGTGATATGTATAGCAATAAGTTTCGAAGATAGATGGAAGAAGAATTACAATTGTTAATTTAGATAGGTAAGCCTTCTTTACTTATTCTAGGTAATGCTCCATACCATATCGCGGTTGCGCAAGGAGTTGAGTTTCAAGGCGATCTGACTAAAGCTGAATTGCTCAATATTGCAAAAAAACATAAATATAAGAAGAGACGTGTAATTGATGAAATGATAAGAAAATTCGGCCATAACACAAGGAACACGTTTCTCCTTCTCCTCTAAAATTTCTCAAATGTTGCTTACATCATTCTGCCTTGAACGCATAGATATGAAGGTGAGATTATATAAAACAGTGATAAGGCCTGTTGTGTTATATACGTCAGAAACATGGATCCTAAACAAAGCAGAAGAGGAACTTTTAAATACATTGGAAAGGAAGATGATGAGAGGCATCTTTGGAACTAAAAAAAACGGTGGAAGGCTGGTAAAGGAGAGCTAAAAGAACTCTTCGGAGATTCTTGCATAACAACGCATGTTAAAGTGCAAAGGTTTAGGTGGACTGGGCATGTGGAACAAATGAACACAGAAAAAAATTAATCCTGAACAGAAGGCCAGTCGGAAGAAAAAACAAGGGAAAAGGAATGGGGTAGAAGAAGAGATCAGAGCAGCGGAAATGAGGTATTGGCACGAGAAAACACGAGGCAGGAGGTTATATTAAATAATATTATTATTGTTGTGTTCTCTTAACATTTTCCTCCATAAAACTGAGTTTTTAATGCGGTGATTTTTGCATTTTATATCTATTCTGTTGTATAAACGCTGGATATTTGTGAATCTGAAAGCAAAACTAATCCTTTTTTACCGCATAGTAAAGGATTAATTGCTCCGACGCGAGGATCAATTACATCACTGCATTGCCGGTTTACCGCCTAGCTGCAAGAATCCGCTGTCTGTAAATTACTGACTGAGAGTAATTTCAAGTTAGATTTGCAACATTGCAAGTCCTTCTTGCTATGGTAATTGCGAAGATAGTTGTTGCGAAATCGCGATTTGATTCGCTATTGCAACTACTGTCATCGCATCTTTTATTGCAACGGGGACTTGCCATGTAGCAAATCCAACTTGAAATTGACCCCTAACGGGTTAACAACAAGTTGACTTCGCGGCGTTGCTATGTTTAAAACATGTAATAACAATTTTTATTTTTACTAAATGTTTACGACATTGATAAATCAACTTGAAATTGACCCCCCCGACATTGTTTAGATCAAAAATGCTGCTTATAATAAGATAAAGTAGTAAGGTAAGTTGGCAACTTGAACTTCCACGCAAGGACTGCAAGTAAAATATCTGGAGCTAGTGACATTAACGGGTGTACAATAATAGTATATTATTAGCCAAGGTTGCAGAGCCAAGCATTCTAGACCGAGCGCAAATTAGAACCCGAGACGCGCAGCGTCGAGGGCTCTGAAGCGCGAGGTCTAGAAGTGGCTTTGCAACCGTGGTTAATATACAATTTTTTTCACTAGTAGAAACCATAAGACAATAAACTGAAAAAATAAACGTTAAATTTTTTGACGCAACATGATTTTGTTTTGATTTCTAATCAAACTTAATCTAAATCTTCAACCCAAAGAAAACCGTTTATACTTGTCGCTGAGTTAATCATTTTATCTTTTACCGTCTACCAACTACCATGCGTATACTTAAATAATGTTTGTAGCACACATTTGTTCATTTTTTAAGAAATAATCACTACCTCCCATTCCAAAAGGGATGTAGTCGGTACTCAACCTTCCCCGAAGGACTGGGCGCTGGCTGCAAAGGTAGTCACGGAGGCAAGACTGGAGTGGGCAGTGGACAGCTTTTCCCCATACAAATCTCCAGGAGTTGACGGTATTTATCCCGCCCTCCTGCAGAGGGGAATGAGCAGACTACGCCCTATTTTGTTGCCAATGCTTCGGGCGTGTCTGGCTTTCAGCTACATACCGAATGCATGGCGAAAAGTAAAGGTTATCTTTATACCTAAGCCAGGACGACAAGATTACACCTTGGCTAAATCTTACAGACCAATTAGCTTAACATCATTCTTGCTGAAAACGCTAGAAAGACTAAGCGAAAAAGAGATTCGGGAGGCTGCTTTGAGCAAGCAACCTCTACATCCGAACCAACATGCCTACATCCAAGGAAGATCCACCGATACGGCCTTACACACAGTTGTAAACCGTATAGAGTGGGCGATGGAGAACAAACTCTTCACCTTAGGAATGTTTTTGGATATTGAAGGAGCGTTTGATAAAACGACCTTCAAAAGCATAGAACTAGCCCTACGAAAGCACGACGTGGACCCCACCCTAAGTAGGTGGGTGGCCAGTATGCTGAGGAATAGGGAAGTAATGATTAATGTAGGTGGCACTGAGATCGAGGCTGTTGTAGACAGGGGATGTCCTCAGGGAGGAGTTCTCTCTCCTGTACTGTGGGATACTGTCGTTGACAGCCTGATACGATGCCTCAATGATCTTGGCTACCACACAATTGGATACGCGGACGATCTGGTCATTCTGCTAACAGGAAAAAACGCAGATACATTATGTGAGATAATGCAAGCTGCAGTAAAAATAGTCGAGGAATGGTGCAACAGACATACCCTCTCCGTTAACGGAGAAAAGACGAAACTAATCCTGTTCACCAGGAAAAGGAAAATTGGCACACTACAGATGCCAAAAATATTTAACACAACGCTTCAACTTTCGGACGAAGTCAAATACCTGGGAGTTGTATTGGACTGGCGACTGAATTGGAAGAAGCATGTAGATGATAAAGTAGAAAAGGCACGCTCGGCTCTTTGGCAATGTCGTAGGGTGGTGGGAAGGTCGTGGGGTTTAAATCCCAAGATCGCCCTCTGGATCTACACGGCAATAGTCAGACCGATGCTGTGCTATGGAGCTTTAGTTTGGTGGCCCAGAGCCAGACAAAAAACAACAGCCCTGCAACTTGAACACGTTCAGAGAATGGCGTGTCTCAGTGTTACAGGAGCAATGAGGACCACTCCCACAGCGGCTCTGGAGACTCTCCTTTGCTTAGCACCTCTTAACCTTTACATAGAGGAAGCGGCAATGACGACGTCTCTAAGACTTCACTCTCTGGGAGTATGGAACAAGCAAGGCCGCACAACGAAGCACACTCGGATCTTAACGGAGGCGTTCAACAGAATACCCTTGTTGAGGATGGGTTGTGACCGAATGGGCACAAAATTAATATATGAGAAGACATATAGAATATCAATGAATGATAATTCAGAAGGACGAGCCGACATAGATATCTATGTCGATGGTGCCAAAACAGATAGTGGTTCAGGAGCCGGCATCTACTCCGAACAACTGAACGCACAAATCAGTGTACCTCTCGGCACCCACACGTCTGTCTTACAAACAGAACTGATGGGAATAATGCTGGGAGCTAGAATCATTGCTGAACGTGAAATCGGCAACAAATCAATACGCATACTTACTGACAGCAAGTCTGCACTACTAGCCCTGGACAGCTGTATGGTTCGATCCGGGCTGGTTTGGGAGTGCAGACAAACGCTAAAGTATGTAACGCAGAGGAATAGTGTGGAACTTTGTTGGATCAAAGGACACAGTGGCAACGAAGGAAACGAGAGGGCAGATGAGATGGCGAAGCGAGCCGCGCGCATGCCCTTCTGGGGACCCGAACCGGCAATCACGCCCTCGGTCGCCCTCTCGAACGAACTCGTAAAGCAATATACCCATAGACGCCATGAGCAGATATGGGCGACGTTGAGCAGCTGTCGGCATAGTAGAGCTTGTATGGCGACACCAGACCGTAAGTTGACAAAATTTTATCTCTCACTTTCAAGGGACAAACTGCGTAAACTGGTAGGATTCCTTACGGGACATTACCAGTTTAACAAACATCTACATACGATAGGGGTAGTAACAGACCCAATCTGTCGTGGATGCAATGAAGAAGAGGAAACAGCTGAGCACATTCTTCGTGAGTGTCCAGCCCTAGCCTCCTACAGGGAATCCATACTAGGGGACATCTGGCCTAGTATGGCAAATATCAGGGAGTTTCCACCCTCTGCATTACTCAAGTACATTCAAGCAGTTGGATGGCTTGACGAGTAGAGGAGCGGGAAAACACCCTGATATGGACTTGGGGAAGGTACAATGGGCCCAAAGGCGAGGCCTAAGTGCCGGCTGGCTACGGTCAGCCCCCATAAATTAAGAATCCAGAATCCAGAAGAAATAATCACATCAAACGTTGCGTACATAACCTCAATTTTTCATTTTGAACCGGTGGTCGCAAAAGTTGAATTCCCTACCTCTAAATGAGTCGACATTTGCTTGCGTCATGGCTGCTAGTGAAAAAAATATATATTTGGAGCAGGCGGCGAAAATTCAAATGTTTGCGGCTTTTTTAAAGTGTAGAAAGACTCAGGTAAAAAACTGAAGGTCATTGAAGATGACATTTAGCGACAAATAATGTTGGGTTAGAAAACATTTTCCCATTTTAACGCATATCTGCTTGACGCAGATTATTCAAATAAAATTAATAAATAATTACTGGTACGGCCTGTACCACCGGCAGCACTCCTTGTGGCGGCCCGTGCTTTTTTTGATGGCACTCTGCTGGGTGGCCCCCCTCTGTCAAGGAGCGGCGGCGGTCTTTTGATGCGGCACTTCTTATCGGCGACTCGTAGGTACCATAGTCGAAGACCAAAAGGTTAGGCGGACCACCCCCTTTCACATCTGCCTTTACACAACATTTTTTAGTTTGTTAGTCCTTCGATAGCAGACCAGTAGTGTGGACTGTTACTATTCAGTGTTGTGGACAATAAAAACAATAATTACAGTCCACTTCATTCGTTTCTCTTCTCCGCGGCCACAGTAATTACAATATTATTACATCCACAAATTATTTGCTAGCTAACACAAGGAAAACCATATTCGAGCCTTTGAAAAACTTTAGTTAGCTTAGCGTTCCTTCAAAATTTATTCATTAAAAAAAAAGAAAACAAATGACAAGTGTTTTATGTTGACGCGTTACTTGCGTGTATTGTTTAATATTTTATTTGTTTCTCACTTGTAAGTAACTATTATAAACTATTAAAAACTCTAGAAGGTCCTATATTTGAAGAAACATCGTATGAGCTTTAGACGTATTGCCTTGTAAACGCACGTCAGTATGGGACTTATCATAGCACTTATTGTGTTGTCTAGTTCTGTCATTTAGATTTTTCGATTTATCGTTTTCGATGTATTGAAATGAGTGTGGCGCAAGCTATATTACTGAGGAAATTGTGAGTGAAAATTTGCCCGAATCAACTTTGGCTGTCATTTGAACTTACAATAGTTTAAAATACATGGCTGTATGAGCACGAGCAGGGCTGTAAAAATTTTGCTGGCTAGCACTTGCACTATTATTAATATCATTAATTTTGTGTTATCCTATTCCGAAATTCTTCCAAGTCATTTATGGGTGTTGTATAAATTGAATTTTTTATACGTGGCCACAAGAAGAAGTCACAAGGAGTGAGATCACATGATCTAGGTGGCCATTTGTTTGGTGTATTGCAACTAATAATCCTATTTTCATAAAATTCAGACAAAAAACCTATTGCAGCTCCAGCTGTATGAGCAGTGGCACCGTCCTGCTGAAAGTAACCATACACTAACTCTTCATCATCCAGCTGATTTAAAAATACACTTCAAATTTCGTCACGGTATTTTGCAACATTTATGTTTCCTGAAATGAAATCATCATTATTTTGTTGTTAAAATACTAAAAACCTTTTACCATAAAAAAAAAATTGGACCAATTATTCTGCGTTGGCTAATTGCAGCCCAAACACCAACTTTCTGGCGACTCAATGAAAAAGTGTGGATTTTCAGAAGTCCACATTCTTGTGTTTTGTGAGTTTACATAGCCACTAAGATGAAAGTATGCTTCATCAGTGAAAAACGTTTTTTCAAGATGGTCACCCAGATCCAGCGTATTCAGAAACCATTCAAAATATTGAACTCTTTGAGGAAAGTCTGTTGGGTGTAATTCATGTACAGATGTGAGACGATAAGGAAACAAATGATGGTCCTCTTTTAAAAGAGTGTTACACGTACCCACAGACAAACCAAGTTGTTGTGATAAATAATGGATAGAGGTACCCGGGGTTTCTTCCATTACTTCTCTCGCTTCTTCAATTAGTTCTGGAGCTCATTTTTTTGGATGGCCACTTGCAGGTGTTCGTGTCACAGATCCATTTTCTTGGAAATTTTTTAAAGAGACATTTAAAGTTTGTCGAAACTGCGTATACTCTACGTCAAAATCAGGGAATTCTTCTCGAAGCTCTTCCATACATAATCCAATTGAATACTGCCAAGTTCTTTTACACCGTTTCGGTAGTAAGACATCACCATGAATATTTTGTGTTGTTCAGAAAAAGCCATTCTTGTTAAAAAAGAACTGATTTTTATAACGCAAACAAAGCAAAAGATGAAATAACAATAAACTGCGAAAAAGCGATACGTACGTTAGGGCACAGAACACACATCTGCGTTAGGGTTAGGAAATCTGAACGTGAAAATGTCATTTTTTTGTATTTAAGATGGTAATGATGTATCCGTCCATGCTCTGAAGTATATTTGGTTGCCTACTTATGCTCCGAAAATATTTGCTCTGTTACCAAAAATGGCAAATTGTAATTCTAACGCCTACTACAAATATATTTTTTATTGTGCTCCCGTTATCAAAAGAAATTTGTCTATATAATTAAAACGTATTGTTTAATTACTATAATACGTCACGGTTTTGCTTTGAATATCAAATCAAAGTAAATTTTGACCACAATCGCTCCTTCTTATCCAGTTTAAATAATGCACTTTTTTTTTTTTTTTTGCAACTGTTCCACTTTGATTTACATACGACTATGTTGTATGACTCGTACTTGTTAGCCTACTGGTCACTAATAGTATATTATTAGCAAAGGTTGCAAAGCCAAGCATTCTAGACCGAGCGCAAATTAGAACCCGAGACGCGCAGCGTCGAGGGCTGAAAAGCGCGAGGTCTAGAAGTGGCTTTACAACATTGGTTAATATACTATTTTTTTCACTAGTAGAAACCATAAGACAATAATTTGAAAAAATAATTTAATAATTAACAATTTTTTGACGCAACATGATTTGGTTTTGATTTCTAATCAAACTTAATCTAAATCTTCAACACAAAGAAAAGCGTTTACACTTGTCGCTGAATTAATTATTTTATCTTCCACCGTCTACCAACTACCATGCGTATACTCAAGTAATGTTAGTAGCACACATTTATTCATTTTTTAAGAAATTATCACATCAAGTATTTCGTACATAACGTCAATCTTCTTTTTGAACCTTGGTCTCAAAAGTTGAACTTTGCTACCTCTAAGTTATAAGTCGACATTTGCATGCTTCATGGCTGCTAGTGAAACAAATATTATATAAAATTAACCAACAAAAAAATCTGTTGTTTTTTTATAATTATTAGGTTATCTTACCTATGGTAATAATCCATCAAACGTTAACCACCTCTTCAAACTGTGATTTTATATAAAATACACATCAATTCAGTGTTTTTTTCGGGAGAAGCACATAAAATTTTATGTGGCGTTATGACCGGAATCGAAAACCGCATACGCTGCATATATTTTATTTTAACGCACAATAAATTACATAAACAGTTTTTGCGTGTACAGAACCAGTGGGCAATAATTGCTACAAATTAACTCCCTTGACTGTAAAAAAAGTTGTGGAGACGAGTTCAGTTTTAACGGGTCATGAGTTTTCCCATCCAATCAAATCCACCCTCGGTCATTAAAGTAATTTTATTTGACTTGCTCCGTCGACTGTAATCACAAATTTCATCACTAACAATTACTGATATTATTGTGACGAAACACAATCATGGACATGCTGTGCTGGCGTTGCCATTAAATTTTTATTTGAGATTTACGAGCATGAAGAATCGTATGAAGCGTAGGATTTAAGGATTTAATAATTTCGGATTAGTGCTTTCTACAAATAATAATTTACAGTACTTAAATGTGCACTGCATAAAACTTGTCAAACACTAACTGAGACAAACCTGAAAAGGTTAACTTTAAGGGATTTCATGGGAACGCTTTTTTAAGTTGGTGGATTTTTTTAGAACGACCTTTCTAACTTATGACACCGAAGAAAGTGGACTGAGGTATAAAGCTCTCTGTTTAGTCCTTTGGGATTTACCCTGGAATGAGGTCCTCTGAGATTCTACCATATAGTAAATCACACATATTATGCTCGAAATTCCAGTTTTATGCTGTTAGAATAATAGCTGAAAACGCCATTTTAAATCTTCTTGTTTTAAATAGTTAAACGTAAGAAAAGTAAGGTAGCTATATATTTATGTTTGGTGTACATATTTAAATTAACGATACATATAAGCAGTTGTCATTAAAAATTGTATATACGAGTATGTATAATTCAACTCCATGAATGCAGGTAAATGTGTAGTCAGTAAAGTTTCACAACAATGTGTATTACGTTTTCTAGGAAACTTTAATTAGTTGGCATCTAATTACCTACACTACATGTGCTAATTTGTTCTCCAACGATTATAAGGATTCATATAAAACGTGACTATTATTTTCACTAGAACGCTGATGAAACCAGTAGTATATTTACAATCGAGACGAATTACCAAATTGTAACCAAATTAATACGGCAAAACAAAAATTCTTTGGTTGTAATTAAGTAAAACAATTGTATGTATAAAGACAACACCACTGTAATAACAATTTCATTTGAATCAACCTTCCTCAGTTGCATATTACAGATAATAGTTGGGTTGTGATGGTTTTTAAAAAATCTGACATTTTAGGTGGAACATTTATTCTCAATTTTTCTTTTAATAATAAAGATGAAATTTTTAAATTTGATATACCTTTACATTAGTCAATAAAATACTT